AGGTAGATGGGATTGAGAGATGTAGGAATCTACCTCAAGGTAAGGAAGCAACTTCATTTAGAAAACATGTCCTTCTTAGCCACATTAGATTAAAATTGTGTTTTTTTTGTTGTTGTTGTTGGTTTTTTTTTTTTTTTTTTTTCTCTCTCTCATTTTGAATGTGATGGGTGTTTTGGAGACGAGCACCAACACTCCAGATTGCTCTGGCCCTACAGTGTTCTGGGCATACCTGGTGTCTCCGCAGCCAGAGGTATGGCAGTGTGCAGTTTGCAGATGTGTGACTTTAAGTGTTTCCATCCCTCAGATTCTCCCTATCTTTGAAGATCTCCAAGATTTCCTCACAGTCATGGAGATCCGGCACTGGGAGTGGCTCCTCTTTCTGGTYGAGTGGCTGGAGCTCCATCCGCTTTTAGCTGCGCCTGTAAGGGGCAGCTCACTGTGCACATGCCGCAGGGAAAGGAAGAATGACTTAAAATGGCTAAAGCATTTGAACATCTTTTGCTTTTAAATAGCAGAGTCTGTTCTGGCACGACTAACTTTACTCGCTTTCTTAGTGTACTTTATAAGGACAAGCTTAATTTGTTCTGGAGCTTTAAAGTAGCAAAACTTAGCGCATAACACAGATTGTGCAACTAGTAGCAAACTAAAGGAAATGAAGCACATAAATGAGGTAAATGAAATGCTAAAGCACGTTCGTGGCTGTGTGCTGCAGTTTTGTGTTTTGTTTTCCTTTCTCGTGTAGGGACTGTAGTAAAAAGATGTCAGAGTTGATTTTGACAAAAGCATCAAATTAAAACTCCATGTAAAGTGTCTGATTTGCTGCATTTGCCAGAGAACGCAGCTTCCTCCAGGTAGCCTATTAAATATGATAGAGGCTTGKGGATGGTTGCACTACTGGAAACATGAATTATGTAGGAATATAATATTTTTCTTTCTGATTCATGCTCCCGAGCAGTACATGCAGCTATGCTGGTCTCATAACTACTTCACTAACAGCTAGCACCATCCAGATGCCAGAAGAACAAAATTAAGTAAAAATCTGTTGGAATGAAGAGTTATTTTGTTTTGTTTTTGTGTTTATTAGCATTTCATAGATAACTGTATTTAATAAGAAAACAAAATATTGAAAAGTAATGCATGGGCAGCTGCTGCTCCTCCTCGTGGGACTGCTGGGGGGTCWCAKCACATTAGCTGCCGAGTTTTTGGCWGCTCCCTTCGTTCATSTGCCCCTGCCCCCTGCCTTTTGCTGTGAATCATGCAGTTATTTGTGTCCGGCGGGGAGTTTTGTATACATGTGTATATATATACATGCATATATATCCTGTCTCGCCTTAAGAGAATCCAAACAATTTGGAGACGGCAGGGCTGGCGATTGTACTTCCAGCCTTGCTGTATCCCTACTGCTTTCCTAGATAGCAATAGTATTTCATTTATTCTTTTTTTAAGCATAGCCCTAGCCACCAGTGTGTTGGAGCGCCTGGTTTTGCTGGCTGTTGGCAGTGGTGTCTGAAAGCAGCCAGCAGCATTGYCACAAGCGCTGGAGCTCCGGGTCTACACCCAGCAGGTAATGGGCTTTGCCTGAAGGTGAGCGCTCCGGTGAGCTACGTGCTTTTGCTCTGCAACAGCTCTCACAGCAAAACTGTCTCTCTCCTTTATCTTTTAACTTCTGCTTCTTGAAAATGCTCTTTGCATGCTTGGCTTTGAGAGAAATTTCAGGGACAATATGTGTTGTGCTGAGGCAATCAGGAGCGCTCTGAAAGGCTGAAGTTTCTCTCTGTATCTTCCTTACCAAGAAGCTTTCACTGACGCGGTGTAAGTAGGAACTTTATAAACTTTGCAATTTTGTCCTTTTTACTGCCTTTGGGACCTGGCTTCATACTTGCCGTGGTTCAGGAGTGCGCTTGGTGTAAGGATGAGAATAGTTGTAGCAGCTTTTCCATGGAATGGCATAGCTGTTTGGGGAGGAAGGATTGGGATTCCCTGCCCTCGTGAACATGAATGTAGCACCACATTTAAATGCGTGCAAGCCCTGGAACGCGAGGGATGTCCTAGGGTTCTGGGACTTGCCGAAAGGCACCTTCTTGCCTCCACAAGGATGGTGTGTGGTGTTTGCTCCCTCACTTAGGTACGCGTCTTGTAACAAGTACAGAGTAACTTTACTCAAGGGCTGCTGTATATGTATTATATGACAAGTGTGGTTTCCAAAACAAGAGCGTTTCCACTGTTAGACCCAGACTCATCTGATAGGAAGAAGGCGCTATGTGATACAGCACAGTTGTGCTGGAGACTTGTATCTGTCTAGAAGGGGACATCTTCAGTCCAGTTCTTCCAGGGACAGTCCTGCCGTGGTGTGTGCCGCTGTCTGACATGYGCAGCCTTGCCCTTTCCCTGGCAGTCTGCGCTGGGGAGAGCGAGCGCTGGTTGTCCTGGCTGCTGTGAGGTCCTGAAACCCTCTAAACAGGAAGGTGTTGCTCTTCGTGGCTCACTGCCGGTAACACGTTCTACGTGTTTATCTTTTCTTTCAAATTGAAGTATTTGATAGAATAGAGTTCCCCATCATGGCAGCTCAAATATTTGGTGAGGTTTTACTCTTCAGGTAGGTTGTCCCTGGACATCYTTGTTTCCATATCCCACTTGACAAGCTGGAAACTGTAGTCTAGAGTTACCAAGCAAATTCCCTGAGGGCTTGTGGCACCKGTAGTATGAAATCCTGAGCGATGGGTTGTGGGAGCTGCAAACTTGCATCCTCTCCAAGGCTCTCCTTGGCCATTGCCCTCTGTGCAGCAGCAGCACCCGGGCTGGGGGGTGGGAATACCAGAAGGCCTCTCAGGAAACATCAGCCAAGGCTTGGACCTTGCTCTGGTCTACCCTGGAAGCTCCAAGACTGAAGCTGTGGTGGACGCTGCTTCCTTTCACTCTCAAGTTTTTGTAAACTGAAAAGTGAAAAGAAGGAACTGGCCTGGATCAGCCAGATCCCACAGGAAAGGAGCTGTGGGTTGGAAGGGAGACTCACTCAGACGAGGCTCTTGGAAAAATCCAGCTTGTCAGTATGGGGCCGCTGATGCCCTCTCTCCTGCTGGATTCATCCCCCAGCTCCTCCCAGGGGTGTTCACCCCTCGCTGGAGCCCATCCCATGCCCAGTGAGCCGTATCCGTGGCTCTGCTCCAGAGGTGCCGGCACCCMCTCCCTTTCAGGGATGAGCAGCACGTGGGGCTGCTGGCAGCTCCTTCTGGGGCCATCGCGTCGTTCAGACGTCTCCGTTGTTCAGAGCCTGCCCTGCCTCGCTTCTTCCAACATGCCGGGCGCTGTGGAAAGAAAGGTCTCAGGTCGTGCTCAGCCCGAGGAGTTTGTGCCAGAGCAGGGCTTACTTGACGCGACCTTCTTCTCAGGGCAGGCAGCCGAATGTGACGCTGGGCGTGAGACACAAATAGCACGGTTCCATTGTGCGGATGACACGAATTTGGGAGAATGGGGAGGCTTCTGAGGACATTTCCAGGAACTCTGGGTGGCACCTCCTGCAAACATTCCCGTCGGTGTGGCGAGCTCAGGAAGCGCCCTGCGCTCTCCATAAAAGGTCCCATCTTGAAGCTTCTTCCTTCCCCCCGCCCTCCCTTCTGGCATCGTTTGTTTGCAAAAGGCCAGGCTGTAGCGCTTGGCTTAATTGCTCCCAACTGGATATTTGGTTCGGGATGCGGATTGTGCTCTGTCTGTTTGGGTTAGCTGGCAGGTYGGAGCGGAGATGTCTCAGGGAAAGGGAGTTCTGCGCTGCGAGCCAGCGTGCTGGTTTTGCAGGGTGCCCGGCATGTCCTGCTGGGCCTGCGCCCTTGCGTGCCTCCCCGGGAGGCTCTGCCGGGCTCCTGCCTGCAGAGGGAGCAGATGCCCACTGACCTCTGCCTTGGGGGCCTCAGGCTTCACTGGAGGGGCCTGGCTGGCAGGGAGGGCGCGTGGGGCGTAGAAAGCTGGTGCTCATGGAGGTGCCTCCCTCTTCCCTCCATACCGAGTGGTGTCCATGCACGTCYCTTAGCTTTGAAACAGCTCCCCTGAGCTCCTCGATTTACCCTGCAGGCTCCTTTCAGTATTTTCTTGCCTTAGCCCTACGGTCAGGCTTAGCCCCGCTATTTATAGCTTGGCATGGTGGTGCCGGCAGCGTTATCTCCCTTCTACAGGCTTAATAAAATCAAGCGACTTAGACCTGCTGTTTGGTAGTGCTGGCATTGGCGACACTGGGAGCGTGGGGAAGACAAGTTCATGGGAGACAAAATTGCTGCCCTGTTGGATCCTCGTAGGAATATGAGTGAAGCAAACGGTAAATAGCCGGTTGCTCCCTGGTGCTGGCAATGCCTTAAGGAAGAGTTAATCCATGTTGAGCCTGGGTTAGTATGCAGTCCTCCTGACATTCCCAAATAATCCGGGGTTTTGCTGTAGGAGAGCGTTTCTTGAAATAACGTGGCCGTTGCCGGTGCCGGGCTGCGTGTGTTCAGCCCTTACTGAGCCCTAGCTACTCGAGCACTTTGTCTGCACAAGCAGCCCGTGTACAGCGGGCCTGCGAGGCTGCTGCGGTAACACCGCTCCCAGGAGCTGAGCCTCCCACTGCAGCGAGCCCTCGAAAGAGGGAGCTCCTCCAGAAAACGCTCCCTGGATTATCAGTGCGGCCTAAAGGTGCTCCTAAGGGGAAGAGCTGGTCACCTAATGGATTTAGGCTGTGAAAGAGTTTTCTGTTCTTGTTGATTGTTGCTTAGAAAAATAAAATAAAATATGTCYGTTACATTATTTGATGGGAGGGTTTCTAGAAATCCCCCAGCTGTCCATGTGCTGTTCTGTTGAATGGATGTAGAAACATGAGGCTCATAATACGTCTTTTTTAATATATCTTTTTAAATGTGTCTTGAAGCCTTTCTGGTGACTTTCGCAGTGCCTAAGATCTCCGGGATGGAGAAGCTGGGAAGAGCGATCCCTTTTCCAAGTGAGTAATGCCTTGCCCTGCTCTGTTGCAGTACATGTTACCATGGCGATGACTGCAGGGACGACAACATCCTTTCCCATGAGCAACCACACCCGGGAGAGAGTGACGGTGGCCAAGCTCACGCTGGAGAACTTCTACAGCAACCTCATCATCCAGCACGAGGAGCGAGAGACCAGGTAGCGCCTTGGCTCCCTCTTGCCTCCATGCAGCCGTTCAACGCTGGCTTTTGGTGGCGTTGCCTCAAGGACATGTTAGTCCACTGGCACAGAGCGTTTCGTAGGTGTCCTTAGCTCGGAAGCGGAGGGCTCATCATCTGAGGACACAGAAAGCCTTGGAGCTGTCGTCCATGCCCATAAACCCRCGAGCGTCCCTTGGCTCTGGGGGGACTGACTGGTCTCGTTGAGTTACCACCGCTTTGTGGAGACCACACTGTGCGGGCTCTTGTCTTGCAGCACACAGGAGGCTGCTGCTGCTGTTGACCCYGCCATGGTGTGTCCCCCAGGAATGAGCCCCATGGAGGGGTCTGTGCTTTGGCAATGGCTTGGGATGTCTCCTCATGCTCTGCAGCACTGTGCTGCAGCCAAGATGAGAGTGTGTAAGAAATGGGGAGCAGGATCAACGTGGTGGAGGGGAGAGAGAGAGACAGAGAGGGGGGGGGGGGGCTGATGCCCCTCGCGTTGGGGCGCAGATGGGTCACCATCGTTTCGGTTTCTGTGCCCCACTCTGGCTGCACAGCAGTGAAGCGCTGCTGAGCGAAGGGTGGGAGCACCAAGCATTTGATTAGAAGGAGTGCTGCGGTGCAGTGTCATCAGCATGGGAAATTAGTGTTCCCTTGGTAATATGTTCTTAATTGAGGGCTTTTCAGCCGAGCAGCAGGGTTTCCATCTCTTTCTTGCATTCTGTCATTATCCTGTGTAATGRAGCTGCTTGGTTTTTATGAGAATAGGCTAGTGGGGGCCTTAATTTGGGGTATCCTGCGGAATTTCCTGAAGTGTGCAAAGACACAGGCTGCCTGGTACTTGGGGCTCAAACTCCCTGCTGCCCCTGGCAGGCAAGCGGCTTTCCAAAAGCTGCAGCCTGAGGGTCAGGAGGATGCAGCTCATGGGTGGGAAAAGAGGCATTTGGTAGAAAGGGGCTCCCCACAAGATCATTTAAAGACATACAAATTCCTAGAGCAGTGGTAACTGTGTGATTGGGCTTCTAATGCCTAAATCTGCAAGCACGGGCTTAAATGTGACCTGAAAGTGGATGCTTGAAATTTATTTGTGCGTTTTCAACAGATTTGGTCACAAATGACTAAAAGCACAAAGCAAGCGATGGGTTTTTACATGTGCCAGTTGAGGCAAGCTCTTTGGTATCTGGTATCTGTGTTGTCTTGTTATAATCCTATACTTGTTTTAAATTAGAGAAATGAATCCATTGTGTGTCTCCTTTGCAGGCAGAAGAAGCTGGAGGTGGCAATGGAAGAGGAAGGCTTGGCAGATGAGGAGGTAATGCTACTGTAATACTTGAGCAGATCACTTTGCTAAAAGTTGCTCAGATTGGCATTTGAGGAGTTAATTTTAACATTACCTTGTATTAAATTATTTTTTATCATGTAAATGAAGTTTAAAATTGCTTAGCTTTTGATTTGGTATACAGAGGAGAAAAGAATGAGATGCACATGGAAGAAGTGGGTAGAAAAAAAAACGCTGAACCAGTTTTCTCATGTACCCTTGCTCCATTCAGATATGGGCTTGAAGGGAGCTCTTCCCAGTTGGCATCTCTCAGAATTTTGCTCAGTAAATTCCTTTTCTGAAGTCCATCACATTGCTGCTGCCTGTACTGCGTTCAGCAGAGGCACTGAAATAAATAGAAAGGATCAGTCCCAGGTAATTCCTAAGCTTGATGCAACTTCTGGGACAAGTGGAAGGTGAATGTGGGTGCATATTGCCATCTCGTGGCTTTAGATGGCATTATCATCCCAGTACTCCATCCTGATGAGGCTGATGATCCCAGAAGGCTGATGATCTGACTGGCAGCCTTGGCTGTCTCCTTGGCCTCTTTGGGAGCACACCTAAGTGCTTATCTTCTCTGAGAGTAAATCCCACTGTCCAAATAAATAAATTACTGGGACCTTTGTATAAAACACAATGTTCCGGACTCAGACTTTCAAGCAAATTTCTCCATCACGTTTTCTCCATCATCTTCACGGGTGGGAGAATACTTTGCAGAAAGGGAGATGATCTATCTTGGCTTTCTACGACCACACGACTTATCAGTGCCCGTGCAATGTTTTCTGTTAGAAAAAGCTGCGCAGGTCCCAACATGCCCGCAAAGAAACGGAGTTTCTGCGCCTGAAGAGGACAAGGCTCGGCTTGGATGACTTTGAGTCTTTGAAGGTTATCGGCAGAGGAGCTTTTGGGGAGGTTTGTGCATTTCCTGCTTGATTGGGACATAAAAAAGGGGTCAAATGGTAAAATTAAACATTTTAATTATAGAATAACAGTTCAAACTTGGCAGTTTTATTGCAGAAGAATAGCTGTTTTAGTAAGTCTAGAAGTGTGGATAAGACCATTAATCAACTATAGGCACACATTTATCAAGGGCTATTAATGAACCTTCATTTCCTGTAGCCCTTTCTATTAGCTCCAGCTGATGTTGTCCACGCTGCCCCTTCAAGTGCTACCACTGCCATCTTTATTGTCAATTTATTGTATTTTCAGTATTTTTATATTGTCTAACTAGTGTTAGAATGGCAGCTGTGTATATGGTGTATAGAAATATGTGCTTTAAATGATTTCTTTATTAACATGTTTTTGAATATGTAATAAAAGAACCTTTCTCTACCCTACAGTTTGAGCCTTCCAGGATATAGCTCTGTGGGGCCTAGTTTATGAGGAATATAGGATTGATGGGGTTGTATTTCTCATTATAGGTACGTCTTGTTCAGAAGAAGGATACAGGCCATATTTATGCAATGAAGATACTAAGAAAAGCAGATATGCTGGAAAAAGAGCAGGTTTGTGTTATATAAGATTCTTGAATTTCCAGGTTACTCTGTGTAGAGAATTGCCAGTTGCTCAAGTTCTTTGTGCCCCTTCCTATTTGTTTGTATTGCCCACTCCTACTCTGTGCAGCCCTGATAGTGGCACTGCAATCCAAGGCCTCTATGGAGGTGCCACCACAGCACAAAAGAAAAAGTGGAAGTTAGGAAATAAGGTCATATAGTAGCATTTGTCAAAATGTTTTATTTGCAACTGATTTGGAACATTAACAAAGGATTTTTTTCCCCTTTTGTCCTTTATCATTGCAGATTTTTTTAGTGCTTAATCCCAAATTCTGTATTTCATGAAAAACAGTACCATGACAAAGTGAAAACTGAGAGTACTTAATGTTTTCCTTTGGTGGTCAGATAGCAACAGATGTTATRTTGTCTGTTGTTTGGCTTGGCTTTGCCTTTGTTTTGTGTTTTAGTCAGGCTTTGTGACTCTTCTGTTTTGCTTTTCAGTCAACAACTTGCTGCAAATTCCCCATAGGATGAGGCAAATACTTTAGCACCACAAAGCAAAAAGATCAAGTGCAGATATTCCAAAGGAAAGATAAGGAGAGAACTTCCATCTGCCCTACCTATCCAAACACCATCATTAGCTCTCTTATGGCATCCCACTCTTTTATTATTATTATTATTATTATTATTATTATTATTATTATTATTATTATCATCATCATCATCATCATCATCATCATCATCATCATCATCATCATCATTTTCTCCTGGTGCAGCCCTCTTGGCTCCTCAGCCCTGTGTCCTGGGCACAGAGAACCACAGAGAAGCAGCATATTTAGCACAGCAGCCAGGATGTACATGGATGCAAATAAAAGAAAATGAAGACTTGCAAGTGTAGTGGCATTGAGAGATGTCCTGGTTGGTTTGGTTTTCTTAAACAACATTTCAATTTGGAGTGTTGCTACCTGTGGAAGGTGTGAGGAGTGAAAAGAAACATTTATATACAGGATAGACGCAGCCAGTGAGTTGGGAGCCCCTACTACAGGGAGGGAATTCAAGGCAGTGTCAASTGGACACACACTTACATAGTGCTACCCTTGGCTTGTAGATCTAGGGGTAAAGCGAAGGAGATTCTTCATTTGCTATTTGCTGGAAATGTGGTTTTTTTTTTTTTTCTTCTTCTCACACAAACACATTCATTTCAAGAGTATCACACAGACATTGTGATAGAAAAGCAACTGCTTTAGATGAGAACCTGGAGACTTCCCTCTTAGAACAAACATTCCAGTGTCCTGCTCTGTGCTCTCTGCTCCCTGTGAGAGCCGCCAAACCAACACTTGCAGTAGAAAGCAGCAAAAGGAGCATTAGCAGAGGGCAAAGTTCTTCCTCCTCTTCCCTTCCCCACCCTGATTCCCATCCAAAAACAACCCAACAAATAAATAAAAAACTGATTTTAACAGCACACAGTTGACCTGCTTACCTGTGGCAGAGTGCAATAACATGGCAGCATCTCCTGGGCCCAGTCCTCTTTCAATACTGGCTTCAAGTAGGAGTTGCAGAATATCCCTTAATGTGATTTTTRGTGCAAGTGTCAAGTGTGTTAATAGTTTTAAAGACACTGCTGGGACTTGAATGTCCTGAGCAAGGTCAGAGGTGCCCAGATTCACTTGCCTGGGACCAACATGAGTAGCAGAGCTCATGAGCCCTGGGCCAGCTTCCCACTCCTCACGTGGAGAAATGGCCCAGTCTGCTCTGCTTCCTCTCCCCTGTCTCCAGCCTAAAACTCTTCTCACTTTTTGTCTTTTTCTTTCTATGCTGATATGAGAAATCTGTTAAATTTTGACGATAATCATGATGTGTCTGTCATTTCATCTCTTAAGTTGTGCATTAAGACAAGTTCTATGTTTTTCCAGTCAGGATTTGCACATGGATTGTACACTGGATTTTGTCTATTGGTGACTGTGACTTTGCAGTAGGGATGCTGCATTACTAATCTGACACCTGCAGAACTTTATATTTTTTTAATGACCTTATTTCATTTTATGATATCATAATAAAAAAGGAATTGCTCTTTTCCTCCAAACTTTCTCATTTCTTACATACAAACAGAAACATCTTAAATAGACATGCTTTATGTTTCTAGAGATTGCATCTGTAAAGTTGCATAAAAGTTATTCTCAACAATCAGGTGAATCTGTGAGTTTCTGTTGCGGGTTTTTGAATGCCTTTGTAGGACCTAGTCTCTGGATGAAAAATATTTTCATTGTCAAAGATGATGAAAATGAATTATAGCACTAAGAATATTACATGACTTTTAGTGTTCAAGTACTTTAATTGCCCTTTAATAACAGTATTTAAACAAAATCCATGTTTTAGGTGGCCCATATCCGAGCAGAAAGAGATATTTTAGTTGAAGCAGATGGAGCCTGGGTAGTGAAAATGTTTTACAGTTTTCAGGATAAAAGAAATCTCTATCTGATCATGGAGTTCTTACCTGGAGGTAAGCTCTACATTGTGTTACTAGGTGATACAAGTACTTCTTCCTGTTGCCAACTTCATAGAAGTGTTACAAACATGCATGCTGTGAAATTTATGATGCTATAAAGTTTTAATGCTGTTTAAAGTGTAGTGACAGTAATATAACCCATCCTGATCTTAAGGGAAGGGGGATGCTTGAGGCAAATGTTAATATAATTGCAGACTTGGATTGAATAATTCTTCTAGCCTTGGGTTAAATAATTCTTCTAGTCCAACGTTTCCCTTTTTTTTTTTTTTTTTTTTGCTGATTAAGTTAGTGACAGTAATAAAAAGAGAGCTCTTGCTGAAACAGCTCATTTGAGCAACCAATGTGTTAAAACTTTTAGGGGGAATAAGTATCTCACTGGACTATTCCATTAAAATTCATACTTAGAATTTTTAACGGGGTTATGTGCAGTTTACTAAAAATATGTTGGGTTTGTAGGTCTTTGAAATAAGTCGGTTATAAGGTTAAATTTGGAATCTCTTGAGGATTCTCATGGAACTAGCCCTGTGATTGAAATGATCTGATTTCTGTGCTGTATCTTCTGCTCTTTCGTTAGGTGACATGATGACCTTACTAATGAAGAAAGACACCTTATCCGAAGAGGAGACACAGTTTTACATCTCTGAAACCGTGTTGGCCATAGATGCTATTCACCAGCTGGGATTCATTCACAGAGATATTAAGCCAGACAACCTTTTGCTGGATGCTAAGGCATGTAATACGCATCTAAACTGCCTAGGTTTTGAACATCTCTGCAGATAATGCCATTTATAGCTGGGGGAGCTGGGAGTGATTCCAGGAAACAGCAGTGTCACCCCAGTGACTTGAACCTCTCTGCTGTAAAGGCAGAAAATGGTCAATACCTCTTTCATGTAGAATATCTATCTGCTTAACAAAGCAAAACTGCKCTATGTTGGAAAGGCTTTTTGAGCATGAAAACACTCACTTAAGACTGCCCAACTGCTYGTATTCATACACATTAAAAACTGATATGCACCAGTTAATTCAAAAASTGTGTAAGCCTGAAGCATTCGGCCYGTGCTGCTTTCCAAGCGACCGTTTCCCTCCTGCAGTTACCTCCTTTGCTCCGTGATCTGCTTGCTGGTGGGGACGGGYGTCGCGTGTGAGCGCTGCGAGCCCTCGGGCAGACCCTGGCAGGCCTGCGGACTGTGTGGAGCTGCCGGCTGCACGGGTGGTTGAAAGCAGGTTACCATCAAACCAGAGCAACAGCAGCTCCTGCCGGAGGCTTCTGCCTCTCGGAGGTGTCCAGGTCAAAACAAAGCCAGGCAAACTGGCTGCCCCCAGCTGTTGACTGTAATCATTGTTAGTGGGTTGGCAACACTAACAGCCCTTGGAAAGAAAACCCGTTCTCCTGGTGCGTCAAGATTCACTCACTATTTATTTGCTTGGCACTACACAGTCCATTTCGAGTCCATGGCTCACATGCAGCCTGAGAAGGCAAGTGTAGTTATTGAAACAACTTTCTTTCTCAAACATTATTTTATATATATATATATATTTTTATCTTTTCTTTTTTAGGGTCACGTAAAACTCTCCGATTTTGGGCTATGCACAGGTTTAAAAAAAGCTCACAGAACTGAGTTCTACAGGAACCTTACACACAACCCACCAAGTGACTTCTGTAAGTATACGGTGTCCTAATTAAATGTTTAAAAAGCTGTGAGCTGCAGCCACRTGATAATTGAGTTCTCCTGGATTAAGCAACATTGCTCAGGCTGATTGCACTTAGTTGGAAAACCTGTTTCCAGAACATGGAAGTCTTTCACAGGAAAGAAATTATGATTTCTATAGGTTTTACTTCTTCCCTTTCAGTATGTTTTAATGCATATGTATATTTAATGCATATTTCATCACTGAAGTCAGTGATGATCTCATGAGCCTTTTTGTAAGAACAAGGTTGCTCAAGATTGCCTCAGTCACACTTCCCCATTAGTATTTTATTCTACAAATGAAAACTTTCTCAGCAGTTCTGCTTGCATTCTGCATTTGCTGTTTAAAACACCCTGCGGTGATCTGTATCATACCTGAGTATCCTCTACCAGACTAATCTGCAAAGCTTTCRGCAAGTTCTAATTAGAATCACTGCTCAAGTATCCTACCGGTGTGATTCTCAGCTCGGTGTTGGGCACTAGTTATTCTCTGCCCTTTTCCTCTCTCCAGTTGTAATCAGGTATTTGTTTCTAGAAGAAAGCAATTTAAAGAGGCAGAATGGTCGTTCATTGAATCCAGCTTGCTGTCAAACTTTTTCTTTTACTTCTCACAAAGACATCTAATACCTATTAATTATTTTCTAAATTAGCATTTCAAAATATGAACTCAAAACGAAAAGCAGAAACATGGAAGAAGAACAGGCGACAGTTGGTGAGTCAATAAAATTAAATATAATCATATAATCTTTTTTTTTTCTCTGAAACTATATAAATAAGAACATAAAATAAAGACTGAACATTAATGCTAGTGGTTTTTAATAGAGTGGCCATAGTTGCAGAGCTGACAAGCTGTAACTGGCATTAAGTGAATGGACATAAGCTAAAGTCAGTCCATCGCCCCGGAGACGACAGAATTTCAGCCACGCCGATAACTTCCCCTGAGCAGCAGTTCCAAAGCCCCAAATCTGCAAATCTGAACTTTTTATTTTGGTCTCTCTGTCTAGGAAGTGATAGGCTGCACTATTTCTGGAATGCTTTGGAGTTCTTCTTGGTGTCATTCTGAGGCAGAGTGAGATCACCCTGCAGTCGTGTTGCTTTGTAGTTCAGGCCCTTTCTCCCTCTTGGAGCTGCCTCTCTGGAAAGAGGAAATCTCAAAAACTAGCACAGAGTGACCCAGCAGAGCTATGTGGGGAAGCTAGATGTATCGTCWTGCAGCCCAGCAAAGAGGGGACAAGGTTAAATTAAATTACTTTTTTCAAAAGTAATTCAAGTAATTCATAAAGGAAATATGCTCTTGGTTTTTAACTAGTTTGAAAGTAAATATCTTAGCTGTATTCAGCCAAATTAAATATCTTATTTTTAGTCAAACAAATGAAAGCAAAATATTCCATTTCCAAAGTACAAGTCAGACTTTTTTTTTCTTTTGGGGGAAGGAGTTGGCTGGTTTATTTGGGGGACTCCCTGTGCTCATCCTTGCAAAAGAATAATGTTCTTCAAATTTTAGATATTGTGGATTTTCAAATTAAGCATTCTTGTCCATCCAAACAAGATAGTGTATATGAATCCCCAGGAAAATGCTTTCCAAAGTCTAAAAACCTAATAATTGTATTAAAGAGTTTATGGATTTGTTTTTTTTTTCCTTCCTTCCTCTTCCCCAGGCATATTCTACTGTTGGCACTCCMGACTACATCGCCCCAGAAGTATTTATGCAGACGGGCTACAACAAGCTCTGTGACTGGTGGTCTTTGGGAGTGATTATGTATGAAATGCTAATAGGTAGGTCACAAACCACAGCCCCAGGCTCGTTCAGAGGGCAGCGGGACGCGTTGGCTCATCTCATCTGATCCCCTCCGCAGTGCAGGCAGTAGAATTTCATTGCCTTCTTCCTGAAGGGAGCCCAAACTCGGGTTTCCAGAAGGCTTTAGAGTGCTCCCAGCTTTCCCAGAAGACAGCAAGAGATGAGGAGGCCTCAGTAAAATGTCCCAGTGAATAACTGCTCGCTATTAAATGTTTCAAGTTTCTACTTTTTAGATTCAGGAGCTATGGTGGCAAAAGCCAGAGGCCCTGGCTACTTTCCTACTGTGGGAAAAATGCATTGATTTTTCTTTGTCTTTGTGCAGGGTATCCACCTTTCTGCTCAGAAACACCACAAGAAACCTACAGGAAAGTTATGAACTGGAAAGAAACTTTGGTATTTCCTCCAGAGGTGCCCATTTCAGAGAAATCAAAGGATTTAATTCTAAGGTCGGTGACAGAAGCCCACATAGGTTCATAGCCATCTTCCATAAGAATAACTTCCCATCCTGTGGAGAGGAAACTTTGGACTAGGAGAAAGGGTTGGCTTCTCCACCTCACCATCCTCACTGAATCTTTCCATCCTTTTCCCTTTGCTTTTTGTTGAGCATGAGGGAATCAATTTAAAGATCTTGACTTGCACTGCTGTATCAGGAAACAAAACAGAGCAGCCTGGAAAGAAAAGAGCAATTAAAACACAGCTTTGAAGTTCTTGGGGAGGGAACTAAAAGCGACTGCTCACCAGTATTCAGTGCACAGAACAGAAAGTTTTGGATGTATTGCATAAAGTCTCATTTTCAAAGTCACTATTTGTCTGCATTAAAGTTTCCTGAGGCTTTTTAGTTTCAGGCACAAATGCTGTCTTGCCATGAGAGGTTGTTGGGGTCCAAGAGTTGACTTTGATATTTTTCAAAGACAGCATTACAGACCCATATGAAGTTGTTATGGGCAAAAGGGGAAYGTGCTTGGGACAGAGCTGGGAACAAAATACATTGCTAGTCCAGGCAATGCTCCAGGASCAGGCAACGAGCACAACAAATGCAGCAAATTGCTACTCTTACAGCAAATAGTTACAGTGACATTAGCCCTCACAATCCAAGTTACTTAAATGTTGCTATTTCTGATTAATAGCATAATAGCATTAATAGCATAATAAAATTGTTGCACACAAACTTCTTACAGTGCATTTCTCTAGCATTTTGCTCACGTTGTCTAGGTGTTGTGAGCACCCTGAGTTCTTCACTGAAAGTACAGGGGTTGTTGCTGAGGATTTCTTGATCTTAGGTCTACTTGGCGCATGTTTATATATTTGAAATAATTCATTTTTTAACCTGTCTTGCTGATTGGCTGGTGAATTTAGTTATACAGTGATTGCTTGTATTATTTCATGTAGGGTACAACCATCCAATTGCATATAGCTGAACAAAGAACTTAAGTTAAAAACATCTTTAGTCAGACAACTTAGGAAAACAAGGCCAAAACTGCAGGTTAGACAACCTGCCCATTGGGTCCTTTCTCCCTGTAGCTAGGGCATGTTGGGCAATGGGGACCTGAGCCTGAAGGGAGTTACAGACAAAGCAGAAGTGTCTTAGTTTCTGTGACTGTGGCTCAAAACAGACTAAAGGAAGTTCAAGCTCAATTATTTCCCAAGTGTCACTCGACTTCAGGCATGAGAACATTGCTGGTAAAAACTGGGGAGAGTTTATAACCTCACTTGCTGTGTTGCTGAAATGCCTACTGCAAGTTCRGCTAGTTGGCAAATGATTACCTTTTTTTTTTTTCCACATTGGAGAGTATTTGATGTGAAGAGTGACTCGCAAATATGGATGATGGGATTGTGTGGAGAGGTTTATATAGGTTCTGCATGACTAAGTAAACAGCGGCTTTTGCTCATTTTGGCCCAGAACAAATATCTCATTTGAAACAGATCAGGTGACTTAGAGCAATAGGAGGCCTAAAAGAATGTGCAGAGGAGCCCTCAGTGGCAGAGTCTGAAAAGTCCTCGGTCCAAACACCCCTTACACGGCCAGCAGAGCAGCAGCTTCTCACAAAACTTGAAAATCAGAATGAAGCAGTTTAGACCAAGTGCAAGTTACTGTCATCATGGCCTTCTGTTTTAGGGCATTGATAATATCCTCTTAATAATATTTCCCTCTTCCCCTAGCTGCAATATGCTGCTTTTATGCTACACAAGTGATGGAACTTTCCTTAAAAATTCCTCCAATTCCTGATATAGGATACCATGGCAGTTTTATTTGCTACTGTTTCTTTCTACCTTTATTGTAATATTTTCCTCATTATTTTCTTCTTTCTCAGGTTTTGCACTGACTCAGAAAACAGGATTGGTAGTAATGGAGTAGAGGAAATAAAAAGTCATCCCTTCTTTGAAGGAGTGGACTGGGGACATATCAGGTATATATCCATTTTATATAGAGAATAAAAGCCATGAAGGCAAGGATTTCCTGCACTGTGATGGCGAGAACAATCCTTCCCAATTTATCTTTTATGTTGAAAGGCAGCTGCCACCAATTAGTGCGTGGCAGCCAAGGTTTTCAGGCCTTACTGACATCCCTAGATCTGATCTGRTCAGAGTTTCACCAGCTTGAAATGCCTCAATTAGCCCTGAGTGCTTGGGCTGGAGAGCAACCATGGTAGGGTGGCTCTGGTATTGCTGACTTGCACTCTGATATCATCAGACAGCTCCTGTTCCACTGGGAACAGGCTTTGCAGCTACTCCTCCATTTGACTCCGTTAGAACGGGGACAAGGCAAACTGTATCCTCAAGATACGGGGGAAATGGAGGAGTTGGAAGGTGAGGCAGAGGGTAGGAGCAAAGCCCAGGGCRTGTGGGTGCTGTGCCTGAGTGAAGCGGGGCTTGTGCAGAGCAGGGGGCAGAGGCACCAAATCCCCTCCGTGGCCAGTCCCGAGGCAAAAGCACCAGTTTCTAGCATGACTTGGCATGTGCAAGGTGCCCGAGCCACCTTTGTGTGTTCCCAAAGCTGTGGCACCCCAAAAGCAGGCTGTGTAGGGGTGCCCCAACATTTTCATTTGAAATAATAGTGACTAGTCAACCATGAAGTTGTGCCATTTCAGTAATAYGGCACTTTTGGACATGAAAATCCATAGCGTGGATGTGTAATGACCTTGTCCCCCTCTCTACTCTTCCCGCCTCTGGCACAGAAAGCCTCATGCAACTTCTCCATCAGTGCAGGCGACACGAGTAAGCAGCAAAGGCAGCAGCTGCTCACACCACAGCTGGCAACCTGGCAAAGAAACTTCTACCCCCTACACCYGGAAGTGGGTTTAATTACAACTGCAGTAATTACAGCCGTAATAACCTTACATGTGTACACTAATAACATTCCCACGGTGCCATGTTTGAAAGCGCTGTCAAGGTGCAGGTCACTAGAGCAGCTATTAACCCTCCAGCTTCAAACTTCTGAAGGGCCTTGCCTGGGTCTTGAGCTAACAGGGCAGCAACGTGTCAGGGTCGACTCACCTGGGATGAGTTGCTGGCAGCCTGGATCAGCAACGGGAGCTGTGGTGGAGCAGTAGCTGGAGCAGCTCCAGCCTGATGAGTGCTGAGTTTGTAAAGCCAAATGTGTGGAGACTCCAAAGGGGAGCAAAATCCTGCTTGGCTGGGTAGGCTGGATCTGTGAAATGAGGGTAACCAGAGTGGTTCCTGGTAAGAGCAGCGATCGCAGCGAGAGCTACATGGTGAAGTGGTGGGGAATGTGGTTTCAGCTGATGCAAAAGCATGTTTTCCCCGAGACGGCCAAGGCAGTGCTAATGCTTGGAGATGGATGAATCTCTCTGTGATGCTGGAAGATGCACAAGTCTTGTATCGTTGTAAAGGACTCGGTTAGACCCCTGTGTATGAAATGAAAGGGGTGTTGTGATTAAAGAAAAGCTAAGTTAAGCAAAAGTGGAATTTAGTGTCTCTCTACCTAATAATCACTATTTTTGGATTTATTTCTGTGTTTAGGGAAAGACCGGCTGCAATCCCTATAGAAATTAAAAGCATTGATGATACTTCCAACTTTGATGAATTCCCTGAGTCTGATATTTTACAGCCAGGTGAGACTGATGTCTTATATCCCACATTTGATCCACGCTATGCCAGAATACTATATGATTTGTGTGTGTGTGTGTGTGTTGTATCTGTTTTTCTAATATCCAAATCCAGCAAGTGTATGGGCTTGATCTAGAGATTTTCTTTCAAATATAAATGTAAATCTATAAACTCTTGTAGCATCTGCTTCTGTAGAGCCTGGGGGTAGAAAAGACCAAATACATTTAAACTGTTAAGTTAATTAGTAAAAATGGTTTGCATTTATTTTCACACAGTGAACATAGAAAACAGCTTTCTACCATATTAGTATAATCTGTCTAACTAAATCCTGTTAAAACATTATGTCTTGATTTACTTTACATCTTTAGTTTTTGCATTTGAGCTAAACATGAATTTTAACATATTTATGGGCAGAAGTTTTGAAGGCAGATGAATAAAAGCCAACTCTAAGTTATTTAACATAGCAATTTATGAACTTCAATGACTCTACAAATTATTTTGTTTTTTAATGTTATTTTCTGTTGGCAAGTGGCATGAAATTCTTRTATAGAGAAGGCCTAATTCTCTGAGGTACCAAATTCTCCCAAATTMCTCTGTTTTCACTTAAATATTTATTGCTCAATGATAGGCAGATATATTACAGTGATTATTAATTATAGATAAGTTAGATATGCTAACACACACCAGAATGATCAAAAAGCCTTTTTTTCTTTTTTTTTTTCCCCCTATCTCCCTGAAGTAGCTTTAACTTAACTGTGAAGTCAGTTCTTCTAAGCCAAAAGTATTCAATCTCCAGTGCCTAAGATTGGGTATATAAGTTCATATTTATGTAATGCAATATATAATGTAGTGGGTTTTGGTGTTCACATCACTGAAAATGTTACTGTACATCTAGATACCTAAATATGAGCTTGTACACCTGTATTATTGGCCACTTGAGTTGCAAATGTCTTTAGAAATMTAAGGACAACCACCTGAATGCTGAATTTAGATGCTCCCTGTACCAAATATCCATGCTGAGCACGCCAGCCGCGTTGGTCRCTCATAAATGAGAGGTGTCTGGGTCTCCCAGCTGCTGTGGAAGCCTTGCAGGTGCTGTAAGCAGGGAGGAAGTCCTAGAAGTGTAAAACGTGGGATATATGTAATCCTCTGGGGATAGATGTAACTTTTTTTTCTGTTTATGATTTATGTTATAGGGATTTGTTATGCATGAAGTGTCCTAAATGTTATGTTTTCAGTAACTATGAAATAGCATAGGTAGTAGCATGGTAATAGCAGAGGTTCGTGTGAGGGGACAGTAGCTTCTGGTGTGCCCACAAACTAAAATACAACATTTGATGCCTCAGAGAGATAGGCTGAGATGACTGCTCTGCTCAGACCAGTGGCAAAAGGCCACTGACCTCAGTAGAAACGGGGCTTCTTCGGGGTGCCAAAGGAAATGAATTTTGGGTTTATTTGCTTCAGTGCCTCATGAAAAGCCCTCTGCTACGTAGCACTGCTCTCAATTCTTGCTTGTTGGTTTGTCTCGCTTCTATTTCTGAATTCCAGTGCCAAACACAACGGAGCCTGACTACAAATCCAAAGACTGGGTTTTCCTCAATTACACCTACAAGAGGTTTGAAGGGCTCACGCAGCGTGGCTCCATCCCTTCCTACATGAAAGCTGGGAAGTTGTGAACCGAAACACAAACCCGCAAAGGAAAGAAAAAAACCCACAAACCTCAGGTAGCTGCATCACCAGACCCGCTTGGCGTTAGTTATCAACACATTGACTCTGGTGCGCATCAACTTCACACAGAAATTCTACGGGATTAGGATTTCTAAGACTACTACAGGAATTAGTTGGCAGTGCCAGCTGGCTTTTTTTTTAATATTTGAATATTTTTGTTAACTTTATTATACAAAGGTACTGGAATAAAAAGGAACGTACATCCCTTTGTAACTGCACTGCCTATGTGTGTAGAACGGTTCTGCCTCTCTGTACTGTGGCTGTGTTTGTACTGTAAACCATCTAATCCACCCAGGAGTAAAAACATATCATTTTATGCAGCATTGCTATTCTACTGCTCACCTGGTGGTTTTTAGATAGATAGGCAGGATGGAAAACTATTGCCCGTATTTGCAAACCCTCTAAGCAGTTGCTGAGGGAGTTCCACTTGTGGTCTACAGCTTAGCCCATGAGCAYGGCAGCGTTCGGTTATTTAAATCAGCAGTTCATGTGGGGCCTGCTTACACCTTCCTTCCTTCCTCCCCTCCAGAGCCCCACACTAGCAACTCATCCATAATCTTCTCTTTCTTTATTCTCTGTGCGTGGCAACGGGACAGTCCCGGTGACCTACGCAAAATGCCAGTACAGCTGTTTCTGTTCAAGCTGATTGAGCTTTAAACCTGTTAGCAAATTCAGAACTAAAAATTGGAATCTGAAGTAAAATGAATTGTTTGTTGGTTTTTTTTTTTTTTAAAGGAAGTTTTGTCCTGATACCAAGTTCTGAGGAGATGGCAGTCTCTAAGATTGTATTCCTGCCTTGGTTGCAGGAYGGATAATCTTATCGCTCTTGAGAATTCAAGTAGCCTTTTCTGTCTCTGCAAAACAGGTATTCTAGAAGAGTGATCAACCTGCTGCTTTTACTGTTTTTTTTTCCTAAGATGTTCCAAGCAGGAAAGGATCCTGTCCCTGCCTTTTATTTTCAGCACCTCCATTAGCAGCCTCCTCTAAGCCGGAGCAAGCCGAGTGCCCCACGAGGCTCACTCTCCCGCAGGCTCCGCGTTCTCCCAGCGTCTCTGTCACGGACTGTGACTGTGGAAGGGAGCGGGTGAGCGGGGGGCCCAGTGAGCAGGGCCCACAAGGCGCCCCGAGCGCAGGCAGCAGTGCCTGCAAACACTGCACTGCCTACGGCCCCGGGCWGCCGAGTCCCTCGCGCTGCCTCCCTTCTGCTGCAGCTGCCCTGAGCGCGCCCGGGCCGCCCGCTGCAGTGAAGCACAGGATGCTCTGACCTGCAGTGGGCTCCATTAGACTCTCTTTTTCCTCGACAAAGTGGAAACAATTATTTCTAAAGCCATTACAGGAATGTCTACTGCTGCTAGGCATGAGGCCATCAGCTCTTCCGAGCTGTCTGTGTGCTTTAAAGCGCCCTGGGGGGTTCATTGTTGCACAGAAGCCCATTTAGCACAAAGATTTCTGTGCCCTGGTGTTGTCTTCCCCCAGCCAGCAGTTCAAGGGCTTCGGTCGTGTCTTTGTTCAATATTTTGTTCCTCTTCAAACATCTGATGTTCGGCTCATCAAAAGGGAATATCCATTTATACAATATTATATGAGAGTATGGCCACGCTAAATTTTTGCCTTGAGGCTTGACTKGCATAGGGACAGCTTATTATCTCCCAGTTTTTCTTCCTAAAAGTTGCACTGATTTCCAGGCTGGTTTTAGCCCTGTCAGCAAAGGTCACCTAGAACCATCCAAAGATTGTTCAAAACTTGTAGCTAACTTAAACCCACATTTATATTTTGCTACCACTTTCTACCAGTGGCCTAGAACTAGCAGGGCACAATTTTCTTGTCTCCCTGCTCTAGGGCTGATCCGAAGTGTAAGCCTGGCCCCACAGGATACTGCTATTCAAAAATCCATTTGTTCTTTTAATTTAGTTTTAATCCCTAACCTTGTTTGAGGGGGCTCGTGTACACTAGAAGTGGAATTCCTCSAGAAAAGAAAAACACATTTCAAAAGACCACAGTTATCCTATGTGTAACAGAAAGAGAAGTCTTCGCTTGAACTTGCCAAGACAKGGGAAACTGCAAATGCTCAGAAATACTGGTGATATTTTTTTTTCCCCCTAGTGGGGCTTAGGGGAGGGGAGATRAATATACACTTAACTTAAAGCTATCTATTAAACAACTCTGTCTGTACATACTCACTGGTTTACAGCCTTGGAAGAAGCTCAACCCTTATATTTGTAACACTAAAGATAATATGCATATAAAATTGCAGATGATTAATCATATCAGTGCTCACATAGGAATTATATCCTTATGGAAACAGCCTGCAGCCTATTTAGCAAACACTTCTGTATTGAATAGTTGATTTTTTTTTTTTTTTTGAAAACATGGCATTATTTTAACCAATAAGTTAAGATAAAGACAATATTAACTACTGCTTTTAGGACGATAGGGTTTTTTTTTTTTCTTTTTTTAAAGGTAAAGCTGTGATACTGTAATGGATTAAAGAGAACAGAAGGTTAATCTACACTGGCTTTCAAAAAAAAAAAAAAAAGGAAGTGTAACATATCTTTTGCTTCATTATTTTTGTCCTCTTCTTTTGAATGGCTGTGTTTTTCCTTTGGCGACGTCTGTCACTGTGCCTTTTTTTTTTTTTTTTTTTTAATTTTTCTTCTTGGAGTACCAAAGATCCTGAAATGGCTTGATGATTGCAACCATGTGAAAATGTATTTTCTGGGAGCTTATTTTTGTTAACTTCAGTTGAAACACGGAACGGCGTCCRCAGATTGCTCTCGGAAGCTAACCTGTTCCAGCAGGGAGCCCTGGAATGTGGACGCGGGGAGCCTCCACCCTGCCTCAGGATCCRAAGAGCCTGGAACAGGCGAGGATGTTCGGACTGCAAACCCCAGCCGAGCTCTGGCACTTGCTTCCCCCTCCGATGAGCGCGAGCGGCCTGAGGCCCGGGACCCTGGCAGAGGTCCTTTCCTGTGTGACAGGAGCTCAAGCCAACAACATGCCAGCAGAGAGAAAGCGCCTGTCGCTGGTGCCGCGTCTGCACTGTTGGTTTGCCTTGCTGGAGAGCTGTATGAGTGTTATTTTTATAGGTCAACTGTTCCACAGCCGGGAGGATGAGAGCACAGGAGGGGCAGGCGACGTGGTCCGGGTGCACGCAGCGAGGCGCTGCAGGGAGAGAGGGCCACGAGCAGGGCGAGGAGGGGTTTGTGTGGGGCGAGGAGGGGGCTGGCGCGGGCTCCCAGCGGCGGCAGCGAGACGGGATCGCTGCAGCGCAGCCCGGGCGCGCCGCGCRGCGATGCTTAGGAAGTGCTCTCCCTTTTTCAGTACCATGAGCAATTACCAGCGCTGTAACATACTGTACCTTGTCCTTTCAGCGTCGAGATAGTGCAGCAGCTCGTTCTTGGAGTCTAAATGGCAACTGCTCTATTTTTTCCTAGACTGTTTCATTAGTTGTGGTTGGGAAAGTTACATAGAAGCATTATAAAAAATTTATATGAGGCTTTTTACAGCATTTGAAAATAAACGTAGCATTCTTTTTGTAAAGTTGTGGGTTTCATTTTTTTCATGCTCAGAGCACTTTACATGAATGGGCTGGATTTGTGTCCCTTCCAGCTTGGCACACATGGAAAGAACGGAGCCGCTTGGCATGTGCATCGTCACCTCGAATGCTCCCTGAGGCAGCGCGGCCGGGGAGCACAAATTGCCTTCCCTGTGGCAGCGGCAGCTGCATGCAGCCAGCTCGGAGGGGTTACTGCTCTTCCCAAGAGCTTCCCTTTCTCTTCCCTAATTTAGGCTAGTCTAATCTGGCCTTCCCTGGGCAGCGTCTTCCTGGATTTGCTGTAGAAATACCTGTGCCTTGCTGTTCCCGATTCCTTACTGAGAGCATAGCGGGAACACACACATGAAACACGAGTGCAGGGTTGTGCAGCTGACAGCAAACAGGAGCTGGGGCCTGCCACTCTCTGTAGCCCTCCACTGAGTAACAGCCCTCTGCTTGAGAAGAGCTGCTCTCAGCAATTGAGACAATTTTTACAGAATTCTGTTTAAGGGGATTGCACTTTCCTTCCGGTTACCAGGAAATGTTGCCTTAGTTCTTAATTTCCTTCGCTTACTAAATCCCCTTTGTTTCAAAAATATGTCACTTTAAAGATGAACATAAAGGCTACGCCACCAGCACATTCAACATTCAAAATATTCAAAATGTTTTTGGAAATCAAGCATTRTTAAAAGTATAGTTCTATGTTCATAAAGCATCCTGCAAGTATCTGATGTGCTTTTTTTCATTTTATTTCTTCCTGCACATAGCTTTTCATGTACTTAAGCAAAATATTTTCTTTCATCACTTTTTGCACCGGTTCCTTGATGCCACATCTTTGTTTCGACAGCACCTGCTTTAAGCCTGTTTCCAGGGAGCCCCTTCCTGTTGCTGCTTCTCTGGAAACACTTGCTCTCTCTCCTCACCTTCAGCTGGTAGCGGTTCCTCCCCATCTACTTCCCAGCTGCTCCAGAGGCTTCCGCTCCCCCATGCAAAGCGCAGCACTCTCCCTCGCCTCCGCATTTCCCGACACAGACTGAAAGCGGTTGCTGGCATCCGCAGGGTAAGCGCTGTTATCTTCCAGTGCTTGTGTAAAAGCAGGGCATGAGCTACCACCTTCCCTGCTTCGAAAGGGAGACAGCAGGTGCAGAGGGCGAGCGTTAGTGTGCACCCAGTGCTAAAAGGCTGGATGTCCTTCCAGGGATTCCCACAGAATCTGCACCTCCCTATGGATGCCGCATATGAGGGAGTGTACAAGGAAAAACACTGCAGGTGTTACAGGTCAAATTTCCTTTGCCTTTACTGCAAAGGAAATTACTGCCTTTACTTTACTTTGGCTTTACTGCTTAATTTAGGAATATAGCACCGTACATCACGGCAGGATTTGACCCAGCCTGGTCCACAGAATGGAACAGGAATGTTATTTCAAGCAGCAAACACGTGAGCGTGATTCCTGGACTTGCAGAGTTCACAGTCAGCGAACGACCATCGCAGTTCTGCTGGGTGACTCATGTCCCAGACAGTTACAAGGCCACTGTGTGCAGCGCTCCTTGGCTTTCTGATTTCAGTTAATTCTATCATGATTTAGTGGCCCATAGTTGGCAAAACTATTAGGCACTGGGCTCTTGTTAGGCATCCAGAAAATGATGATGTAGAATATCATTCCTGATTCTGCCAGGAAGTAGAAGGCTTTTCAAAAAGTTAAGCTTTTGGTTTTGTTATAATCGAAAGTGACATCAAGTTAAGAGACTTTCAGTTACGAGATTTACAAGCAATTAAATTACTGCACAGCACAGACCTCCTCAGCTAGAGCACTTTTGAAACCACTTATCTTTTTGACTTTTACAATTTTGTTACAAGAATCACCAAGTAAATTGACTGACCCATTTGCCCCACTAGTTAGATGAGAGAAAGATGAGTAGGAGTCAAGGCCTCATGTCCAACTTGTTTCAATACGGAAGGAATTTGTCAGTGATTAACAACAGATCCTTGAAGGCAGAAGATAAGGCTACTGCAACCCAGCCTGGCAAGCGGCATCATGTTAATTTTACTTGGGAGTTTCTGTGCTGGGCAAATACAGTGCAGCTCAGTGCTGCCAAAGCCTGAATCCTTCAGAGCTTGATTTTCACTTCTTTGAAGGGCTGTTATTGAATGGAAACAATTTTTAAAAGCTTATTTTGTTTCAGGCTGATTGCAGCATAATTACGCTATTTATATAAGTTCTAAAGGAGAAGACTCTCCTAATTTGGGGAAGAACTTCTGCTTTAAAATGATGATATATTTCTTTTATAATGGATATGGTGTATTAAAGAAAAAATGAATGTATTGACCGTAGGGATATTTTGCCTCTCTTTCTTTGGTCTGTTTTTCCAGCAATCTAAAACAGATTTTAGCTTGTCTGTGGATTTGCATCGCTTTTCAATGCCTTAAAGCATTGAAAGCTCCTTGCAATTTGTGAGTGCCTTGAAAAAAAATCACCGAGAATTCTAGGCAGGGAATTTATGGCTGTCTCAAGACTTTTCTTGCTGTGCCCTTTGAAGTCATCCACTGTGCTCCAGGAAAGCACTAAACAGTCTAAATAGATTGAGAATTAACAACAACAACAACAACAACAACAAAACTTTTCCCCGGGAAAGTGATGGAGCAGCTCCAGACACATGGAGCAGAAGAAGGTGCTCAGGAGTAGCCAGCATGGATTCACCAAGGGGAAATCCT